GGGAGGGGGTACCGCGCGACTGCGGCCCCCGCCCTCAGTAAATCTCTCTCCCCCAGCGCGCGACTCCCGCCCCCGCCCTCAGTAAATCTCTCTCCCCCAACGCTCACTGGGCGCCGCCGGGTAGGTGGGTGTGGCGAGAGGACGTGACGGCCGCGGCAGCCAATGAAAATGAAGCAAGGGCTCACTCCGCCAGGGTCAGCCAATGAAAAGTGAGAATCGTTTTCTTGCAGGCGTAAGGGCGGGCTTGTCGGAGTCTGGGTGGGATCCTGCAAGTCGCGGAGGCCGTGACGGGGGTCACTGCTGTTGCGTGTTCCTCCGTGGACGGGAGCGGCTCTGGGGGCTTTGCCCCTTCCCGGACTGCTGCAGGTTGCAGCTGACGGCGTCCTGCTGTCTAGCCTTGCTCAGCGCCGCCTCCGAGGCGCTCATGGTGAAGGAGCGAAGAACAGAATCGAAATAAATTTGCAGAGCAAGTTCTGGATGCTTCTAGCAAGCGCTTTGGCCATTGCTCCTGCCGCCACCGGGTATCTTCGTCACTGCTTTCAGTGCCACAGAAGAGTGAGAAGAATGCCGGGGATTACGCCATCCTCTGGGGGCCTTCCAACCCGGAGGAGAGGAGTGGGGAAAAGTGAAATGTTGAGATGCTCGCGAAAGCTCCCAGTCTTCTGGGTCTCCGTTCTGTAAATCGGAAAAATCCTAACGGGGTCCCTATCTCGCCGAGTCCGGTCGGGGAGCCAAATATGAATAAAGCACACCTGAATTCTGATGCGATCTTACTGCCCTTTCTTAGAATTGGGGAATAGTGAATTCAAGGTCTGGCTTTTAAAACTTCCAACAGTTTTAAAGTGTATTTTTGCAAAAATAAGAGTAGTCGACAATTCCACTTTGTTCATGCCCACATCAAACCTGCACTATTGTTATTCATCCAATAACTTCCTTTCTTGTTTTGGAGACAAAGGTATCTCTTTCCATATCTCATTTAATCCCCTGTCACCAGAAGAATTTTGCACTTTTTTTTCCCGATAGTTGATCTTTTTGTCATGCTATTTATAGCTCTGATCTCCTTTCCAATTGCTTGGACTCCTCAGCCTATAAACATGCTCAAGTAGTCACAATCCTAAAGCCAGACAAAGCCTCTCTACCTTATGCTTTAGATTTTTGCTCCCTCCATTTTTCCCCTTTTCAAACATTGGGAAAGAACTTATTTCCCACCAACCCAGTTAGTCTTCAACAGCCTTCGCCATACCTAATGAAATTGCTTTTTTAAAAAAAGATTTTATTTTTAAGTAATCCCTACATCCAACCTGAGGCTTGAACTCACAGCCTGGAGATCAAGAGTCCCATGTTCCACTGACTGAGCCAGCCAGGTGCCCCTCTGAAACTGCTTTTGATAGGTTGTCAGGGACTTTCTATCAAATCCCTGCTTCCCCCATCTATCTTTAGTTGTCATTCTTCTTCACCTCCTTGTAGCTTTTGTTGATTATAATATTTTGTAAAAAGCTGCTTGGGGGAATGCCTGGGTGGCTCAGTCCGTTAAGTGTCTGCATTTGGCTCAGGTCATGATCCCAGGGTCCTGGGATCGAGTCCCCCCATCGGGCTCCTTGCTCAATGGGGAGCCTGCTTCTCCCTCTGCCTGCCACTCCCCCTGCTTGTGCTCTCTCTCTCTCTGACAAATAAGTAAATAAAATCTAAAATTAAAAAAAAAAAAAAAAGCTGATTGGGTGACCCAGCTCCTACCCAGAGTCCTCCTCTAGTCCTCCAGGTAAGGATGGCCAGGTGACAGAGTTCTGACCAATGAGGCTTAAGTAGGGCTTTTGGTAAAGCTTTTGCTTTTCTGATAAGGGTCCAGCAGCCATACTCTCTTCTCTCTTTCTCTTTTGCTTTTCCTTCCTACCTGGAAGGTTTAACAACCATCTTGTGACCATCAAGATGAAGGCTAGATGCTAAAGATGGTGGTAGGAGAGAGAGAGCAAGAGCTTGAGTCCTTCATGGAATCGTGGATCTGTTGTATGAGCTCTGAACATCTTGTTTGAGACAAATAAGTCAATCCCTGTTAAAGCCCCTGATGGTTGGATTTTCTGTAAGGATAATCTGGATACTTTTATTTCTTGCCTTTTACAAAAGCATTCTCTCCTAGTCTCCTGTATTTTTAAACCTTACTTACTGACCTCTTTCTGTCATTCGTTTCTTAAATATTAATGTTCTTAAGAGACCCATTTTTCTTCTCTTTACCCTCTCCTCCTTTTTTTCCATTACTTTAAGCTGTTTCTGATGACCTCGTGAACTCCAGTGACTTCAGTAACTCCCTTACCCAAACCATGTGTCCTCCCCTCAACCTCTTCTCTGTCTTCCAACAATCTCTCCCCTTAGGTATTGGATACACATTTCAGACTCAACACATCTGTGTTGGTTAGGATTCTTTGAAACAAACTCCAGTTTGGGTAATATAAAAAGACAAATGCACTTATAAGGATACAGAGGTATTTTTACAGAATCCACAGGCAGGAATGCAGATGGTGTCATAAAGGGATTGGAACAAGGAAAGGGAAAGCTGTAAGGAACACAGGCAGCGTGGGTCTCTGTCTCTCTCCAATTTACTTCCTTCTAACATCTGCTTTCTTCTTACCTCTCTGCAAACCAGCTCTGTCTCCTGCTTAGTCCATATGGAAAGCTATAGTTGCTGCAAGTTCCATGTTAGATACCCACACACATACAGAGACCGATTTCCATTTTTCTCCAGAGATAATCTAGTTAGCCTGCTTTGGAACAGGTGTTCATACCAAGATATACGGCCAGGGACACAGGAGCATGTACAACGCCAATCCCTTTGGATGGGGTATATGGGGTATTAGCGGTTCTGGAGAAAGGATTGGTCAGTGGCTTCCCTTTGTGCCAAAAATATATTCTCTATAATGTCCAAAAGTGAAATCATATTTCTTTTTTAAAAAAATATTTATTTATTTGACAGAGACAAGCAGGGGGAGCTGCAGGCAGAGGGAGAGGGAGAAGCAGGCTCCCCACCGAGCAGGGAGCCCAATGCAGGGCTTGATCCCAGGACACTGGGATCATGACTTGAGCCGAAGGCAGACGCTTAAGCCTCCCAGGCGCCCCTGAAATCATATTTCTTGCTATGTTTTCTTTTCCTATACTTCACAGGTGGGTCGATGTCTTTAGTGGCCATTCTAGCTCCCTAGACAAGTGAGAGCTTGTGGTGCTGAATCTAGGGGCCAGGGGTTAGTGCTGTGGATAAGGGAGGGATGGAATTGGTCTAAAGGCAGCAGAATGTAGAGCTAAGGATAATCTAATATGTAGTATCCTGGACAAAACTAAAATGGAAAGGAAAATAGCAGGTCAAATGAAGCTTCGTTTACAGGGACTAGGTGGATAGAACAGACCATAGCTTCAAGTCAACTGAATGGAAACTGGGGAAACCAGAGTGGGAGGTCAGAAGCATAGTTAGATACCATTAGCCAGAGGAAGAGGCATGGGGCTTTCTGTAAGGTCCCTGGCCTCAGGAGAGATCTAACAAGGATCTAAGGTCTAAGGTAGTTTAGACACTACATTCGATTGATTATGATGGAATAAGAGCTTCATCTATCTCCTCTCTCTCCTTTGGCATATTCAGCCAATCATTAGATCTGAGTACTATTACCTCAGCAATATCTTTCAGATTTAGGACCTTTCCTGAACTTCCCACTGTCATTGTCTTTGTTGTCTCTTGCCCACTTGCCCATTGTCTCTTACCCACTTCAGACCTTACTGCTCAATAACCTCTGTATTAGTTTCCCAGGGCTGTTGAAACAAAGTATTGCTAGCGGAATGGCTTAGAGGAACAGAAATGTACTGTCTCAGAGGCTAGAAGTCCAAGGTGTTCCAGACTTGATTCCTTCTCTGGGCTGTGAGGGAGAATCTGTTCCCGGCCCTTTCCTAGCTCCTGGTGGCTTCCTGGGCAATCTTTGGCCTTCCTCGGCGTGTAGGTGTACCATTCCAGTCCTCCACTGTGACATGGCATTTTTCCTGTCTCTTCACAAAGTCTTCTGTCTGTGCATGTCTGTGTCCAAATTTCCCCCTTTCTATGAGGACACCAGTCATATTGGGTTAGGGCCCATCATAATGACCTCATTTTAGCTTGAGCATCTGTGAAGACTGATTCCAAATAAGGCACGTTCTGAAGTTCTAGAGGTTAGGACTTCTTTGTATCTTTTTTGAGGGATATAATTCAATCTGACAGCCTCCCATTTAGTTCGACATTGCTTCTAGAATTATGATACTGAGCACCTTTGATGACTCATTCACCCTAGGATAAGGTCTGAATACCTAATCGTGTAATACATGTCCAAGCCTAATGTGGCCTCTGTGATCTAGTCAGTGACCCCTCTATGCATGCTAGACTTTTTTTCCCCCATGCTATTGTGTCCTGTCCTTCTGTCCTTTTCAACCTTCATCTGGTCAGCAAATTTCTATTCATCTTTCAAGGCCCAGAACAAATATTATCTCCCCTTTGTAATCTTTCTAAACCACTTATATCCCCAAGGAGAATGGATTGTTCACTCATCTGTGTTCCTACAGCAGTTAAGGAAAGAGTACTCTGCACATCTATGATATCTCCTATCTTCTATAATATATCTCATATTGAATTATTGCTCTTGGTTTGACGGTCTGGCTAGATTGTAAGTTCCTCACGGCAATTATTAATTCATTGTTATTTCCCCAGCACACACCATAATAGTGGAATGCTCACTGAGTGGAAGTGAACTGATAACCATATTTCTCTACGACCCCGAACTTCTATATATGTGT